TTTAACAATTGTTGGCATACAAAAAGCAAGAAGTCAGAAAGATGTATCACAGAAAATAAAGCACAATATATTATTGATATTTGAGAGCAAGGGTATATTAGGATTTTTGAAATTTAAATCTAGGTTTTTACATTCAGACAATGATTTTTAAAAGATCACTTCAACAGCATGGCTACGACAGGATTACTTTTCTGATTTAAAAATGCCCTAAAAACATTTGTACTGTGAAATTTAGCTGCACCTGGCAGTTTCCTTCCCCTTTCTGGACCTCTCATAGTGGGACTCCCCTGAGATCACTGATCTTGGGTTCTTGCTGTTCTGTGATGCCCTCACTCACAGACCTTTCCCTGGTGGCCAACCCTTTAGTTTTACATATGCTGTGACAACAGGAGCCTTCCAAAAATACAGTGCTGTTTAACCTTGCTAGAGAAAATAGAGGAGATTTACTTCTCGGCCTTACCTAGAAATATAGTAGCTCTGTCTTGCCTTTCAACCTGACTTCTGAAAATATGGTCTTTCTTCCTACTGTAGTGGTTTTTGTTCACTAATTTGAGATTTTTTCCAGCCAATGCTCTAATTAATGTAGTAGGTTCAGTGCTGGCTAAACACCAGTGCACCCACTAAAATTTATTTACTCATTTCCTGGTGTGAGATAGGATTAGGAGGAAGCCACAGTGGGCTCAAAACTTTAAAAGGGCATAAAGAAAGTTTATTAACAGTACCTAAAAGAAAGAATAATAAGAATCTGAGTAAAACCTTTAGAACACTTCTCCCCCCTACAACCTTTCCTTTCCCACTAACAATGTACAGAAAAAATTCAGTCAGTTTATCACTTCTAGAATACTCTTATTTCAGTTCACTTAGGGAGAGGAGTCCCTCTTATCAATTTATGGAGACTTCTCCACAAGAAAACAGTTCTTTCATGGTTTCAGTTTCCATGAATAACAGCTGCCCTGGTATCTGCAATTGTGAAGTCTCTCCCATCTTTCACAGTTTTCTCACACTGTGTTTATGGGCCATGTCAAGTTAAGGGGTACTGTTTTAAAGATGACCTGTTCAAGAGCAAAGCTTCTCTTTAACTATCTCTGAGATCATTTTCATCCCTGGAAACAGAGATCTTCTTCTCTCCCTGGGGGCAGTAGGGTCTTCTTCACTCTTCTCTCTCTGTCCAAATTTCTCATGAGATCACAGCTACTTCAACATCTGCTTACTTTAGCATGGAGGCCTTTGCTCATATCTACAATTGTAACACTTAATCTCCCCATACTTTCAACAAGTTACAGGGAAAAGGAATCTGATGTATCAGTTCCTTTCCATAGCTTTTATAAAGTATTTCAGCTCCAAAATCAAGGCATCTCCTCATCCCTCCTATCTGCAACTTGACTCTTTCTTCACTGACCTTGGTGTCTTCGTGTTGCTCCTCTACATGTTCTCACTCTGTCCTTTTCCCTCAACGGAGGGAGGTTTTAAGGTCTGAAAACCTTATCTGTGCACTGAAAGAGTTCATGTCGTGCCTGGGGCCTGCAGATTGTTATATGACCTGGCTGAGATGGGAGCAGGGCCAGCCTTGTTACCTGCTCTCAGGCTGGAAGGAATAGAGAGTTTCCCAGGATTTTTTTCATCTTTAGTATGTGTATTCTTAGAGGTGTGTCCAGCTTTCTCAGTGGTTTAACAGATTGTCAGTTCTCAAAGCTAATTACTGATTGGTTTTTTTTGTCAGACACAGAGGAAACTGCGAGCAGCTTCTCTTAGAAAGTCACTTCCATGAATGGCTCCAGTGCAAAACCAGCATACCTGCTTTGTCTTTCCTTCTTCTCTGGTCTTTAAAAATTTTCCTTAAGTTCCAAAAAGGTGACTGTTCATGCTTTTCTGTAGTATGCCTTCCTGTCCAGAATAATTTTCCCAAGACAAAGCAGGGTCACTAAAGAAAAGTGCTCTAATAAATGCTCTTTTTTTACAGATATCCCTGAACATAAGGAAATATCAGAAGTCATTCCTTTTTATCCACTTATTGATTGGCTTCTTAATGTAGACAACGTGTGCCAGACATATACAGCAGATTTTAGGTTATATTGTGCCCAAAAAGAATTACTGGCCAGTCCTAAATCATTTGATTTTTATTACAGAAGTCTCAAATCAGTGTCCTGGTATAGTAATATATACATATACTACTTTAAGGTGAGGTAGACTCACTGCCTTGAAGAGTTTTTTTCTTTTTTCAGGAAGCAAGGAAGTCTAGGTGGGAAAAAAGAGAATGTGTTATGTGAAATGTGGACAAATCATCTGACTTGCTGAAGATTTAAAGCAAAAGTGGATTCTTTGACTGTAATGTTGTTTTTTGAAACGTACAGTCTTTTGTCACTCACATGGGGCACAAAAAGATGAGTTTTCCCATATCTGATGCTCCAACCAAAATCTCAGCTTCCCTTTGCTAAATTTCAGTCTTGATGCTCATTCAAAACATTTGTCTATGCTTGTCTTCTGTGGCTTTTCATGTAATAATAAGAGGTGCGTAAAATTTTTCAAACATAATGTAAATAGGTTGAAAATTGTCTTCTTTTTACAGAGTGACAAGGTGAGTGAAGAGGGAAGAGAGGAAAATTCTTTCAGCTTTGAAAGAAAGAAAAACTTACCTCAATGATAGCAATGAAAGGGAGTTTTCCTTCATGCTAAGTATTAGAAAGATGGAAAAAGCTGTAGCTAGTTGCCTTCTGCAGGCAGAATTATATTTTGTAAGACCATTTTCGGCTAATTTGGCTGTTGTGCAGTTTGAACTTTATGAATTGACTTGTAATTGGACGATGCTGTCAATGGGAAAATTTACAAGTATTGAACATGACATTTTTAAGAAGGTTACTGTCATCTAGTCCTCTATTAGTGGGTTTGCAGAGAGTTATAATTGGCCTAACAAGCCTAGTAACCTGTCCTACTTCCAATTATAATGTACAATCTCATTTAATACTTTTCTTTATTTACTGATAGGTAATAATTCTCTGTCTAGTGCACATGCTTCAAAATAAAGCTGTCTCATCATGGAATGTGTGGGTTCTTTTCATATACATACATATATGTGCCCATACACATAAATTATATCACTTACATATGCATGTAACTGTGTGTATATATATTCTGAAGAGTTCAAGTACATATATTTTTTAATATATGTATTTATATATATACACAAACATTTTTTTTCTGTTTAATTAAGTACAAAGTCTCCTGTTGCTTTTAAATTTCTGGTGTGGACAGGGAGATACTGTTTTCTCCAGACCTTTGTTAAGTTTATGTGAATATTCTGGCTAGAAGTGTTAATACATTCATGTAGATGTAATTCTTGGGACTGGAAAAAAAAAGGGGGAAGTGTAATAAAATGAACAGGTTGAGGAACTCAGTGCATTCATTATCAACTTAGATTTGCATGAAGGAGAAACTGTTCACTTCTTATAAAATTAGAATGGCATCATTAATTTTGTTTAATACACAAGCAATTTTTAGTGCGTGTAAGATTTACGGGCAGTTTGCAGGCGAATAAGTCTTGTTGAACAGCCCTTTGGAAAGAGCTCTGCAGAAGCATCTGCACTCATTGTACCTCCCCAAAGCAGAATTTTTTGTGTTGTTTTCACTGCAAGGGGAATATTGACAAATCACAATGGTGAACTTGGAAGTAAAGGAGGGACCATTGAAAAAAATTAAAAAAAATAAATAAAGGCAGCCAGGGAACTGATATTTTGATGCATTCACAAAGTTAAAAGCTTCAGGTTTTCAACAATTTCTTCATATATGGCAACTTGGTCTTCTAATGCTATGCACTCCTTTTTTGTTTTAGTAAGACTGACTGGTGAGACACCAGACCAAAAAGAAAAAAACAAATCAAGCAAACAAGCCTTTTAGATAGGAAAAAGAGAAGCAAAGCCACCAGGAAAGGGTTTGGTCTTTCTCCTTTTCTTTCATATCTTCTGGTCTCAAGCATAGCTGCCTTTGAATTGTTAATGTAGTTCTGCCCTCGGAGAAGGGCCAGCAGAAGAGGAATTACATATTTTGTTGGGGTTTTTTTATGGAGATGCTCTTGAATGAATGCCTTCTCAGTGTACTTGAGAATTTAGAGAGGTTTAGATGGCCTCTTTTTTGAGTAATTTAGTTAATTCCATTAACAGAGTGATTCCATTCTAACTTTGGGTTCTGAGTAATATTTTATTTCAACAACATTATCCTTGAGCTTCAGAAAACAGAAGACAATGGTTCTGTTTATTTTGGTGATAGTGTGGTTGTTAGAGAAACATCTTAAACTACAGTGTTTGTTTTTGTTACCCTGCTGGGCATGAAGAACTACCAGCATGAAACTATGTAGATTCAGGATACTCAAGGAAGGCTGTAGTGTCTGTCCCTGTTTCTGTGAGTTTGAACACTGATCACTGTTGGTTAAAATATCATCTGTTCCTTTGGTTTGCATGCTCCATTAGGGTGCAAGAACAATCTGAAGTTATAGGTTTCAATGAAGAAAAATAGTGATCATACAACAGATTATAACTCATTGGTGTATCTGCAGATTAACTGATGCTTATTTGCATCAGCTTCACAGAAAAATGATGTTTCAAGAAATAGGAGCAAGGGGATGGCATAAGATTTAGGTTCTTCAGAATGTAATTTTGGCAAGGCAAATTGTGCTTTATGTTTTAGAATTCACTAATGTGTGTGCACGTGTTCTCACCTACTTGTGACTAATGATCCATGATTTTTCTTCAATTCTCACTGTGCTTTGTTGAGTGTGTATTCTGGTGTATTTTCCAACTTCTCAACCCAGAGTTTCTGACAGAATCATAGATCTGAACTCTCTCACAGCACAGCAGTGTCTCTAATAAATAGGTCAAATAATCTTAGAAACGGTGTTTGTTAGTTTTGAATCGATAGTGATGAAGTTTCTCTGTGTTCTTGCTTGCTCAAACTTCTGTCTAATCTATCTTTGTTCTCTTCTTCTTGTGCAATCTTTTCCTTGCTTCCAGTGGCTGCTACAAAGAACAAAGCTAGAGGTGAGTTTCTGCCTGCACCCTTCAATTTGCATTGCATGGTTCTGCAGCCCACGCATTTTCTCCCAAGGTTGTTTCTGCTTCTTCAAACAAAGAAAAATATCTTTAGGTCCTATGGTACGATAGATTAGTTCTTTACAATTTTGAATTTACACCTAAATGCATTGTTTATCAATCAGAACTGCTCATGCTGTATTTTGTTAATTGCTTTAATTTGGGAAGTTTTCAGGAAAAATATAAAACCAAGTGCTCTGTAGTTAGATTTCTGACTTGCATTATAGTAATGTAGGGATATTGATGGCATTTTAATCGAAATGAAGATATTGCATAAAAATGCTCATAAATATGTAAATGTAATTTATATTTTTTATTTCTAGTTATAGTCCTAAATATCTGAACAGCGAACAATGAGCTCCTAAGTGTCTCCTAAGCATTTCCTGTCTTTTCACACTAGTATAAATGATCATCACTGCTCCTGATAGCATACCAATATATAGAAAGGCATACTATGATATCTGCAGAGATTTATGGCTTCAGAGCAGCAAGGTGATTGCCACAAATCAGTGTGACAAAGAAGTAAACCTTTCGGAACTAATCATGTAAGGTCAGCAGTGCTGTAAACCATTTCCTGAATTTCAACGAAGCAGTGATGAAATAAATTGGGCAGGAGCTCTTTCTCCTTTTTAATGCCTTTATTAAAGAGATTCAGCTCAGGTGGGATGAAATCACCGGGCTGCCCCCACGCCGCCGCTGTCCCCAAGAGTGGCACGGAGGAGGAGGGTGATGCAGCTCTGTCCGCTGGTCTGCAGGCAGAGCTGGGGACTGCGTCCTCACGGGAGATTCGCAGATTCCTGCTTTTCGGTCCAACACTTTGGGTCCCCTCCTTAGTGAACATCCTTTAGGTCAGGGTGAGAAGCAAAAAGGATCCAAGCAGGCACTGGACTTCGTGCCCATCCTTAGACATCACCTAGGGTCCCCTAATTCTATATTGGTTCGTGGTTTTAGGGGTTTTCTTGGAAAATGGGAAGATTTTGGAGCAGTGCATTTCTCATCTGCATACGTGGTCTCAGGCCACTCCTATTTTCCTGATACTGCCTGTCCAGGTGTTGCTCCCGGGCAAGCATCAGGAGGACAATGGCTAAATCACCAACCATTGACGGGCAATTAAAGAAGAACTCTTAACAATTAAGCTAATTTAACAGCAACCGGTCCAACCGGTTTTAGCTCTGTAACCTTAAACAAAAATAGATAACTTTTTATTCATAACAAGTGATGTAGCAAATGTAACCTGAGGGGTGTATTTTGACTTACAGATACACATAAATCAATGCATACATGTTTATATATACAGATGCATGTGCATTTATATGTATGAACATATATTTGCATAAAAATAATGAAAATAGGTATTTTACTATCATTTTTCTATTATTTCTGGTAGATAAATTTGACTTGTCTTATAATTAAACATCAGATTTTAAGGCAGAAATCCCTGCTAGTTTACATGTGTTTTGGAAGTCAAGATTCACAAGGTTTGCAGAGTTCAAATCCATACATTGCTTAGTTTGAGGTTGTAGTACAATAATAATAATCAAAGAAAATACAGCCAGTTGAGAGTGTTTATGCATTGGAATAATTAAACCAATCATTAAAATACAGCTGGGGTTTGTTTTTTTTTTTTTTTTTTTTAAACCCTTGCATGGCTTTTTGCAAGATCTTTTTCTCAGAAACTTTGCATGCATTGGGTGACGTGAATGAGGGGAGTGAACAAAATCAAATTCATATATTTGCCTATGCATGCTTTAAAATTTGCTCTACTCCTTTCTGTACTGTTATGTATTCAGCTGTGGTGCTGCGTAACAGCGGTCAAGACTTTGAGACCTTCATAATTAACGAAACAAGCTCAACCCAAAACAACATCTACAGAAGCCGCTTTTCAGCACAAATAAACACGATCTCATCAGTACTCAGTGATTAGCTGATACTCCCATATATTACCATTCAAACATAAACTGCTCTGGAGGCACAGGAATTGTAGGATGAGTCAGAATTACTCATGGGTACCGCTCATCTGTGAGCATTAACACACCCTTATTTCAGAAGTGCACATGCATATTGAATGCACAGCTGAAACTCTATATAGTGAAAGAGGTTTGACACTGTGATCTGCCTTGTATTTGGAGATCTCTTGCTCAGCTGCGCAGTGCCTTCAAGAAGTCCTCGGCTTTTCCTTTGGAGCTGAACAGCCCTGTGATGAAAGCACCCAATATCCACAAGGAATTCAGTCCTGCAATAGTTCTGTCTTTTACCAAAAGCCTAGGACCTATTTTATGATCTCCTGTGGTGGAAGACATGAAGTGGATGATGCCTTACTGCTTTTCTCATTACTCTGTCTAAGCAGTAAAGAAAGGTCTGTTCCTCCTTTTCAAGTCTAACACACTTAACTGGCAAACAGTTCTCTAATACAGCACTGGAAACATCCATTCACAACTGAGAGAATTCTCAGGAGGAGTTTCTCTTTTGGCACTTATAGTATGAAATCCAGCAGTCCTTTGTGTCTTTGCTCTTATATATGGGTCTTCATCTTTCCGTTCTGAAAGTCTGGAATTGGTGCTGCCATTTTCAGCAAGGCACAGTTGACCTCATGCCTACCCTAAGATCTAAGAGTTCCAGAGCACATTATTAAATTATATTCTGTGGGATCACCTGTCTTTTGTTTGTGCATTGTTAGCATGGGAAAACTCCAGCTGGTCTCCACTTCCCTCCCCCTCCTTGTTGGATTGTCTGTAAGCTGAACAACAGAGCCTTTGCTCTCAAACATTGCATTCAATGCTATTTCCTAAAGTATTCTCTCAGTCTTTGTCAAAGACTGCTTGTATTAAGTGCTGTAAAGCAGCTGTTGAACTCTCTACTTTAGCCTTGCTTTGAGGCACTTAGAATCAATTTAGGTTGAAAGGTCATCTGGTCTGCAGGTCATTTGGACTGAGCTACCCTGTAAGTAACACCCACTTAAATCTGTTTGCTCACAGCCTTCCAGTCAAATTGAAGTATCTCAAGGATTTCACAGCTACGGGATAGATTTCCACTGTGATTGCTTGATTTTACCATGGTTTTCTTTCTTAGACTTTTGATGACTTAGAAGAAGCTGCATAAAGTTTTTTATGTCTGCAGAGTAGGTAAATACTTGGATTTTGCACAGGACCGGTATTCCTTTGGACTCCTGGGCAGATGCTGCCACAAGATGCTTGTGGGCAGAATACTTGGGACATTTCCAAGAAGTCTGGTTCAGAAGGGTTTGAAAGGTTGAAGGGGGCAAAATGAAACATGAAAATGGTCGTTTATGGCACTTAATTTGATGAAGCAGAAACTGAAGATGCCACCTGAAAATCTCAGACTATCAGAGGTATTTTCAATGCACTAATATTTTAAGGACTGTTTCTTAATGCACCAGATGAGATTTGGTTAACTTGATCTCTATAAATGAACATTTCCTCTAGCAGAGCACCTATTAGAAGACTGCTTGACCTCTTAAGGAGTGCTATTGTGACAATTTCTGGACACTATTGTTGCAGATCTTTTCTGGCAGCAGGTAGCAATGGTTTCCAGCCTGGATGGTCTTACCAGATCTGCTAATGATGTGTCAGTTTTCAACCAGCAAGTGGAAGAGAGGGCCAAGTGTCTTCATTCAAATGTAATTGGTTGAGAAATAGAGTTCTGTGTTCCTCATTTTCACTTCTTTGATACACTCCAGGTCATCTGCTAATAAAAAGTTTTTGTCAGATCTGTTCCAAACCTCCTGAAGTTAGACAATTGGCTTTTAACCCTTTAAAGTATAAATCAGAATTTCTGATAATTTTGATTGTGGGGTTTGTTTTTTGGGGTTTTTTTTTGGTTTTTTGGGTTTTTTTTTTTTTTGGTTAGGAATACTGAGTATGACTATGGCAACTTCTTATAAAGAAAATAGACTATAAAGTCTATTTATAGACTTTATTTCTATTGCAATTTCTATTGCAGGAGGGGAAAGCAAGCCCTCCAGAAAGATCTCTTATAATCTGCTTGTTTAGAAGTACAACATTTCTTTCTCTTCCTAAGTTTCATCTGGCCCACAGATTAGAAATGGTGACATTTCCGAGAAGATTCCTAAGTCCCCAAGAAGAGACATCTTGCAGAGGGCAAGATGTGTCTGCTTTAATTTTGCAGAATTCATACTATCCAATCTTTATAAAAACCTGTTGGATTGGTAGCTATTTCTGACATGCTTCTTTCTCACATTTAACTGTGTATGAAGCTCTGGTTTTAATTTTTTTCTCAGGGAAAAATTTGTATCACAGTGACACTGTTTCTCATAGCAAAGTATTGCTGTAGTACCCACACAATGCTATATTCTCTCTCCAAAACTGGCATAAAAGCTGTACTTTTGATGGTTCTAGGGGAAGTCCTTTTAATGGGAGATACCATCAAACTTTTTTTCTACTTTAGTATTACAGTTTTAAGTACTGTAAATGCCTTGAACTGTATCTCACTTGCCTCGCAAGTTGGGTAACAGGACTGTAACAGGACTATTTTTTGTAGCCTGGTGGATACCCAGGGGATTTTTGAGTTGTTTCTTTTTCTTGACTTTCATTGCATCTGTATCCCAAAGAAACTCTCTTTATTTTTGAGAACCACGGAAAAGCATTTTTTTCTTTCAGTCATTTCTTCTACAAATGCAGAAGTATATTGGTTCTGCCTTACTTTTAAAAGAGGAGAGTGATTCTCCTTCAGAAGCATAAGATTAAATTTAGCTTTTAAAATGCTACTTAAGGCTTACATCTCAGTCTGTAATATAAATCATCGTAGCAGTTGATGCGCTGTCTAAAAGCATCTTATCCAGGAGGCAAAGATCACTCTGGACTTTATTCACTTGATTTACTTTGTTTGTTCTCATTATGTCAATGAAATTGGTATCAGCTTATCTGAAGCTTAAGTCAGGATGGATCATGGGAAGAGTGTTGAACCAACAT